ATATGAGGAGCATCGAAGCTCCCTTCCCTTGGGAGCACCGATCGATGTTTTTATTTTAAATATAATAATAATTTTTTAAATTAATAAAAAAATATTTTAATTTTTTCTTAATATTTGTTAACGGTGTTTTTATTTTTAGAACGAAATATCTATTTTAAAAATTAATTAACCCATTTAAAATTTCAACCAGCCCTTAGAAGGGGGATATTTTTTTTTCTTTAAAGATTGCTACCTATCCATGGAGGATAGGATAAAAAGTGAAGGTATGTTACCCTCTGATTAATGATTGATGTAGTCAAAATGTTATTTGATATTTTATATCGTATGACGTTGATGTAACATGTTTAAATATTATAATTGATTATAATATGATATATTGACATATTTAATTGATGATATAACATGTTAATTTGACATGATATCATGATTATGTGATATTTTTTATTCTCTATATTAATGTCATGTTATGTGGATATAAAATGATAAGTGATATTTTTACTAATGATAATTAGTCAATCATTAATTATAAAGACTTATTTAATCTAAAATAAAAAATACAAATATTTGTTTAAATACAATAAAAAATAAAAATTTATTTAAGCATTATATCTTATAAATTCTCTCATCGATCTCTTCTCCCTCTTCCTATCTCCTACATCTTCTTTTGTTCCCGATTATAATTAGGTGCCAAAAGACATTTAAAAAAAATATTGGAAATGTCCTTAATGTTGGAAAAATGAAGAGAAAAGATAAAAAATGGGAAAAAACCAAAGAAATCAGGTGTCAAATATTAGGTAGTGTTAACTAAACATGTCTTATGTTATAGTCTCGTGTAGTCATAATTTTTTGTTGTTCACAAAATTCAAAAAAATAAATTGCTTGAAAAGAAGATAAGATGTATCATATTTTATAAAAGTTATATCCGTTAGATATAAATGTCAATAAAGAGTAGTTGATAAGATTCAAATTTATTATTATTATTATTATTATAAAAAATGAAATCCACATACCACAATGACATCCTATTTTGATTTCCGCCAGCGCCGGCCAGCTAGAGGTGAACCTTTCAAACAATGTTGAAACAATTGTTAGCTGTATGAGATTATTTAAATATAATAAAAAATAAAAAATTATTTAAATAATTTAAAATAATTTAAAATTTTATTTAAGCATTATGTCTTAAAAATGATTTAGTCAAGCCTTTTTTTTTTAGCAATTTGTCGAGTTTTATAAATTATATTTTCAATAAACAATAATAATTACTGTGCAAAAGAATTGGATAAATCTCTGGCACATTGTACATGATACATTGTTAAAGTGGTATATGAATTTTCAACTTGAATTGATCGTGATAATAAGGATCAAGTGACGTTGTGTGAAAAATATTTTCCTAATTCAATACGAATTTTGTTTTTTACCCAATAATTAAGGCATCTTATACTTTATCTTAGTTTTTTTTATTTGTATATTCTTAAAAAAGAGAGTCAAATTTTATTATTTAAATAAGAAATCATATAAGATTATTAAGTCAAATATTCAAAGATTTTTTCTTTCAAAAAAATTCAAATATTTTTATTTGTGTTTTCTAAATATTTAGTTTTGAATTATTTTAGCTGGTGCTTATACTTATGAGCAAAAGGTGAGAAGTTATTTTGAGATTTTTTATTGAATATATTATTTTAATCAACTTTAAAATAAATTATTCTATTTTTTTAAAAAATAAGTTAATATGGTAGTTACAAAATTGATGTATTTTTTTTTACTTGGTTGGGATGTAAAATGGATTCATCCCATGATCGCTCATGCATTAATAAGCAGTTTTATGGGTAAATATATGAGCAATTTAATCGATAAATGAAAAGCAAAAACATTGGGTGTGTTAAACGGAAGGAAAAAATATCCCCGAAAATAAAATTGGAAGAAAATCCTTAAAAACGAAAATATCTGATAAAGGGGCAGGAGGAAATGCGGCATCTAAGTCAAAACCCAATCCACAAGGCATGAGATATACGGTACCAATCCCCACCTCCCAAATATGTGATGCTGTTGGGTCCATTTGCATCATAATCACTGGTCAAGCATAAATCAAATCCAGGGTCGTTATTGTAAATTCACATTTATTATTTCCCTTTTCCGATGCCTAAGTTTTGGGTTTTTTCCCCCTCCATTTCCCCTTGATTTTTTAAGCTTTTATTTTCCCTTCTTCCAAACAGACAACTAAATCCCAGAGAGAGAGAGAGAGAGAGAGAGAGGGAAGGATCTTAATTCTTTACTATTTTTATTTTGTATCCCTGGACATTTTCTACTTTCTCTTTTTTTTTTTTTATCTATTTTTGCCCTGTAGTTTTTAATTCGTCTTTCCCTCTCCCTCTCCCTTGAATCGAACTGATTTTTAGGATTTATCTGATCGGAGATCGATTCTGGGGCTTTGGTTTTCTCGTGTTTTCTTTCCTTTTTTTTTTTAATCTCGATTTTACGCTCTTTTTTTTTTTA